AAGGGCATCAGGTTGTGAAACATTGCTTTAACTCTTTCATAGTGGCCTTTATGTCACTATGGAAAACCATCCAAACCAAACAAGTGGGGGAAAATGAATATAAAAGTACAAAAAAACAAACAAAAAAAACACAAGCTAAACAAAAATTTTTATCAAGATTTCAAAATAATATTATTTCAATGTGTTTTATATTTATATTTATACTAAATAAATATTTTATTTAAATATGTTATTTATATGTATATTATTATATATATATATAAATATGTTATTTATATTTATACTAAAGATATAACAACCCTAAAAATATTTTGACTATTAATGTTTTGTAAATGTTCAATTTATTATTGTTTTATAAAATGCAATATCAACAGCAGGCATGTATGAATACATGGAAATGATATCATTGGCTTTTGCAACAGATATAGACTGATAAGAAGCACGAAAGCAAGCTGCCATTGGTATATTGGTATTTAATGGTTTTGCAACAATAGTTGATGCTGCTTTCTTGACAGACTTATTTATACGAGCTTGTGAATAATAATCTGAAAACGAGGTTTTAAAAAAAACATGGTATGGCAGTCCTTTTCGATAAACAAGATTTTTAACCTTTGAATAAGGCACTAACTTATAACTTGACAAACCAGCGACAACTGAAAAATTCTTTACATCTCCTAATTGCATTTGGTAAACACAGAAAGGTTTTTTACGGTTTACATTTTTAATAGCTCTTTCTAGCCCAAGTGGACTAAATATTTCTGCAGCAGAGAGGGATTTTTCAATCTGACTATGAATGTTGTCACATTCTTGAATGCTGGAATGACCTGGCTCGCAGAACTTCTGTTCAATTACTTTTATTTGTGGGTATCGTATTATAAATTCACACAAAGCGGCTGACATGAAACTATTGCGGTTTTGTGGTACACATGAATCGAACCAAAGTATGAACTTATTTATGTCAAGGTCAGCCATGATTTTCAAAAGCAAACATGTTACAGCACTGGCTAGATCATTTACTCCACGACCAGTCATGGCTTCGTGCCAAAGGATGCAATAACCCTTCCTGTTAAGCGAGCAATGACCAGTTAAGTTATAATTTGAAAGTTTTCGTTTGTAATAAAAGTTTCCCACATTAGCTCTAGGCAAATTTAAAACATTTTCAAGGTCAATACAAACAATTGCAGTTTTAGAATCAACATTTTGGCGATCATTTTCACGTTCAGTTTTGGTATCATTCCTTGATTTTATGTGCTTATTATAACTATCTGTTTGTTCATTGCTTGCATTAACAATGTTGCGATACTCATAGCATGTGTCACATAAATCTTTCTTCGGTTTTTGAAATTCTATATTGAACTCGTGATTAAAGATATAACGATACATATGTTCTTTTGCTGGAGGAGAGACATTTTCATCACAATATATTTTATAAAGATCATACATTCTACCTATATTTAGTGATCCTTCCATGTATTCTTTATGTGTCTTTTTCCTGCTATAATGAGCATCAATTCTTGGGAAAAGGTTAATATGGTCTCGTACAACTTGTTTAGACTCTTCTAGTAACCTTTTTTTAACATGTTTCCCTGATTTTGATTGCAATGGTGTTCCAGTAGTTAAAGATTTATTAAACTTATGAAAGTAAAACACTCTATGGCTGCTAATATTCAATGTTGAAAGATAATATGATTTACAAACTCTATATTGTGTATTAGAAACAAAAAAGCTATAATAATAAGATGTTTTTCTTCTTGAATTGTCACCAGCAGCTGTCCGACAGCGTTTTTTCTCCAGATTTTCAGTAGTTTTAGAATAGAAATGTTTTTTTCCGTCATCATCTAAGGTCCAAAAATTATCAAATATTATTTGACGCTCAATCTCAGATATATTGGTAGAACATTTAAATTTACAATTTTTGCAACTTTTTAGTGCAACAATAGATCTTTTTGGCATTTGTTCTCCTTTCGTATTTTTATAAGCTTTACCCGACTGACGTTGGATTTTTCTTATACTTTGTTTCCAACTACTCCTATCAGCTTTACGTTTCCTAGAAACCCCACCATGGGGCGACCGACGTCGTCGACGAGAAGGTGTAATGCCAAGCAGCTCTAACGATTAAAATATTAATTTTTTATTATCCAGGATGTATAAATAATAACTTTTAAATTTAATCTAAAATGGCACAAGCGAAAGTCGAATTCTACTTTTCCAAAATTATAATACAAATTAAGTTGAAAAACTACCTTCGTTTTGATTTAGGGCAGGTTCCATTTCTTGGTCAATATTTGCAGTTGCCATTTTGAAAACAACAAAACTGATAAAATTATTCCGAACAACTTTGTAATTGTAATATGATTGGTTGATTGGAGATAGAACAAGATAATATTTTCAAGTTTGCTCATTAAGGAGATAGAACAATGCAATATTGCATGCAATAACGTGTTAAAGGTTTCATTTTTTTTCAATATAATTAAATTAGAACAACACAATGCTAAAATATTCGAAAATAATAAAATCTCAATTTTTTCAAAAATTGGAGATAGCACAAGATAATTCTAACGTCGCGATATATTAAAAGTGTTGCAACATCCAGCAATTAATCCAGGGAAACTGGAACGTGTCCAGTAGCTGATAATGTGCCGGAATAACAAAGGTGTTTCTTAGTTTTCTGACATATCTTTGAAATTGTTTAAATAAAATGATTTCTTATTAACATCATAAATTTTCTGTATTGCAAAAAAACGGTTTTTAAATGTCTTTTAAACGTTTAAAAAATAGTGGTTTTCATAAATTTTTTTTAAACTTAAAATTAAATAAATTAAATAGTTTTATTTTACAAGCTTTTACTTGCATAAAATAAACAATATTTTAAACTTATTGTCTACAAAAACTCAAAGTTTAGCTTCAAGAATAAATATAGTTTGTGACAAATCATCAATTGATTTTACTATTGTTTGTAAAGCCAAATTATATGTATGTAAATGTTGTCCATGATTTCTGTAATCATATCATTTTAGAGCAGCGGCGGAGCAGTTGTCAGAGTACTAGCCTCTAAATCGAGAGGTCCGTGGTTTGATGTTAGCTCTAGTTCCATATTAGTGACATTGGTATGAAAAGAGACTTCTTAGATAAATCTCTTCCGCGGTGCTTTGTAAATATAATGAGAGAGTAAAGATCAGAAAATGAAAACATTAATTACATCTATTAATACATTAATTACATCTATTAATACATTAATTACATCTATTAATACATTAATTACATCTATTAATACATTAATTACATCTAGATACAATCATCAGTATTGCCGTATGATAATATGGTCGTATAATAATATGGTAAGGAATGTCTGTAAACTCGTAGATGGCTAAACTGAATCCTGTAGTACTTGGAATAGCACAAATTAAAATATTTTTCGCCAAAGCAGCGTTTAATTCATGCAGTTTTATGTAACCTAAAACTTTTTATTTTTTTAATTTTACCAATACAGCGTTTAATTTTAACCGCAAAAACAGTATTTTAATAGAAGTACACGTAATGTTGTCATCATGAGAAATATTGTATGCTCTTGATCAGCATTATAAGTTTTTTTCATTGCTTTTACCTTCAAAAAAATTGTTTGTATAAAAAAGGCAAATAAAAATATATAGCTGCTGGGTTTTTGTTAGAGCGCAAATAAAATGTCGTTCTTCATTCAAAATATATTACTTTCATTGTTTATTGTTTTGTAATGATAAAATGTACGACATCTAAAACTAATCAGATAATAAATAAAGGTGTACTGAAAATGAGGTGATTTTTTACATATCCGGCCGGATATGGAAATTTATATTTCGGGCCGGATATACCAGATATGTTAAATATTGTAAAAGAATAAAAGAGGGACAAGATTTCTAAAGGTGTCGCCCTTCCCTAGCGATGGCCCCTAACTGTTGTCGTGACCGACATTCTTAAATATTTAAGTTTAAAATGGCGTCTCTTTGTAAGAATTCTAGGAATTTTTAAAATAGAAGAATTTCACTATGGGTGTAACAGGGCCGTAGGAACAAAAATTATATTGGGGGTCAGTACAACTCCCAAATAGTTTTAAGGACCTTTTTTTTTTTCAAGTCATTTTTTCAGTCAATTTCTTCAAAATTATTTATTTGAAAAATTATTGGGGGTTAAAAGTATAATATATTATAGTATAATATATTATACTTTTAACATTTTTAAGTTATTGTAACTGTTTTTTATTTGTAATAAAGCCTTTACTTTCTTCTTCAAAAGTTTTCGTTTCTTTTTTTCTTTTTACAAAACTTAAAAGTGATTAGTGAATTATAGTGAAAAATTAGTGAGCAATAGTCATCAAATGTTTATTCATTCAAAGTTAAATTTGTGCGATTACTATTGTAGTGAAATAATATACTATGGTATATTATTTCACTATAATACTTAATTTTTACTTTTATTAATCAAATTCAACTCAAAACAGTTAATTCCTAATTGTTATAAAAATATGTACACAAGTGGGATAAGAGATAATCTCAAAAACTACATATCCGGCTATATATGATGTATCCGGATAACGGAGACCGGATTATCCGGCATTTTTTGCCGGATTATCCGGCCGGATATCATATCCGGGACACCTCAAATAATAAACCCAAGCTAAACGCACTTATCTATACTCTTTATTTAATTAGGAAATGGGTACTCCGCCTCAGTTAATGAGACATAAGTTAATATAAATTTGGCAAAATGTAAACAAAATAATAAATTAAAAGATGATCTTTCAACGTTATAAAACATGTTTTCTCACCAAAAAAAGAGAACTTTGTTTCATGGCGCCTTTCTAAACTTAACTTAACAAAACTTTAACTCATTTTACATAACCGAAATCTTATTTCAATACTACACTAAAGTACCAAATCGAAACCTACCAAAGTAGGTACCAAATCAAAACCTACCAAAGTAGGTAGATTTCCACAACCTTTATAAGACAAAAAAAAAAAATTCAGTTTTTATTTTAATAATTTTACCTATACAAGAAAATGTTTTACAAACAATAAATTTCAATAACTAGATCATATAAAATACTAAGATGTTATTTAAAAAATAGTGAAAATCTATGTAAAAAAAAAAAGTTATAAATATTTGTAAAATAAAGAAAACAAAAACTAATATTCCAAAACCACAACTTTTGTTTTGAGATACTCGTTCAAGGCTTCTTTTCCTGAAAATAAATATCATATATTAATTATAAATTGTATAAAACTAGTATTACGTTTTTTATTAAGTCCATTTTCATACATGCTTGTTAAAATATATTTCGTAAAACCGATTCCATACAATTAGATTTGTTTTAATATTTCTAAATAATGGTTAGTAACTATTGTACATAATATCTAGAATGGCTCTATATAGAAATACTTTAAAGCAATCCTATTTAAAAAAAACCTGATTGGATTTAAGTCGATCTAATACAATCTAACATTTGGACATTATCCTTGTAAAAAGTTAAATAAAAATCAGACCAAAAAAATACATTTAAATCCACTAACTTCAATTTAATTGGTGATCAAATAAGAACATAAAAGGCTATAAATTTTTATCTTATTCAAAATCTTAGAACTTAAAAAACAAAATATGCAACATGTGCAGAATGTTTGACAGTAAAACAAATTTTGTAGCAAAATAGTGAAATATTAATTATTGAAGATTATGATTTTAAATCGATCAATAAAAACTTATTGTAATTTTTACAACAAAAAGTACTTTATCCTTTTTGTTATGTATAAATATGTTAAAATATTTTCATATTACTTTCAGGTTCGCTCGTCTTGGAAATCTTGGAATACCGAGAAAATTAATGTGAAAAATATAATGTACTGCTAAACCAAAATAGTTAAGTAAAAGTAAAAAAAGTATAGTATGTTGTCCAGAGGGAATTGATTTTGTAACAATTTTTTACGTGCAAAAGTACTTTTTAATTACAAAGTAATTAAGTACTTTTTGGCGTAATGATTGTTACATAACCAATTCCCTCCGGACATTCTAAATAAGTTAATTTGGACAATCTAAATAAATTTCTAATACTCGTTGAGAATAATGATTAACGATTGCAAAATAGGCAACTTTCTTCGGAAAACTATGTGAGAAACTCTCTATAAATGATTGCAAAACTATTTCCTTGGAGATTAATTCCACACAAGGAATTCTTGTTTAAATGGAATAAATAGATGTAAAAATAAAATAAAAAGATGTAAAAATATATTAAATCAAATGACAATAAATGTAATAAACTAAAAAGTATATATTTATTTAATTTATTCAAAAAAAATATTGCAACTTCAATGATTTTTAAAATTGAACAGATTCAAATATTGAAATAGAAAAAAATTGCGAGAGGAACTTATTTAAAATGGCAAAACTACTTTCGAAAAATGACAAGTTTTAAGTTGAATGCACAATGTGTCCTGACGGTCCGAAGGACAAATTTATTAGGCAAACAGACTACAACACAAAACAAGTTTACGCTCATTAATAGAACTTCCATCAATATCGCCATGTTAACAAATCTGCTAACAAATCCAAAAAATCAACGCAACTTTAATCTTGCTCAAAAATGATTGACTGATTCTTTATAGTGAAGCTATTATCGACTGACAAAACTTTTGCCTAGCTAGCACCTAGTACTTGAAAAGCTGATTGAAAGTTACATAAAGGATTAAGAGAGTTCGTCTGACAGTTTATATCTCAGCAGCATATGTGAAGGACAAAGTGATTAAGGAAATAACGCTGATAAAATCTAATGGAGGAAAATTTTCCTATGTGATAAGACAACATTTAAACAAATTAAAGTTATGAACATCTATATTTTCAGACCCAACAATTACAATGTATGATTGAAATGGTAAAAGAATGTGATGCTAAAACTCTTTTGAGGTTACAAAATCATCAATTAATGACCTTCAGCATTAAACATGACAGAGATTGCATTGGTCAAACTATGGGTGGGGCAAGTGCTTGCACCAAATGAGGCCGGCTCTCACAACCATTTCATCAAATTTGCTATGTATGATCATGGAATCCATCTTTGTGTGACACAAGTACTAAAACGTAAAAAGTCAATATGATACTATAAATCTAAGTCACTGATCCTAATGATTTGACTACTGAAGAATTCAACCGCTATGTTATGACTGGATTCAAATCAGAAAAGTTATGCAAATTAAAACATGCATCGAAATTAATCAAGCCAACATCAATTCGATGTAAGCAAAATTTTTATTTTCAAGCAACCATCGTATTAAAAAAACAGTAGAGGATGACAGTTGCAACTTTGAATGACCTGATGATGAAAAGCTTTTTGAAAAGTTTTTCAAGAATCAACATTAACTTGATAAATGTTGAAAACTTCAACATTTATCAAATTAATGTTGGTTCATTAATAATAATAAAAAATTATAAAACACAAATTTTTTGGAAAATTTCACTTTGTTTCCAAAGTTTTTTAAATTTTGAAAAAATCTCGGTTTTATCTTGGTTTCGTATGAGATCTCGTCTCGGAAAAATATTGTCTCTTATGTCCCGAGCAACAAGACAAAAAAACCCTAGAGATTCTGAAAGTATGTATAAATGTATATATGTATGTATATAACACAAGAAAAAAACTTTTTGGGGGACCATTTTGGAGAAAAATAAAAAGCCAAGATAGAAAAAACTATGATCTTGATAATACCTAGATCTTTTCCGAAACCAGATTGTTTAAAACCGCCAAAAGGAGATGCAACATCAGTCTTGTTATATGTGTTAATAAAACATGTTCCAGCATCTAATCCATCTTGAACCCTCATAGCCTAAATTTTTAAATAAAACAAATTTTTTACTTAACTTTTTACAATTAACTAATAAGATAAAATATGATTGTTAACTAAAAAATATTCATCATAAAAATATAACTGTTATTAATAATAATACAATTTTCTGTATAAATTATTTATTGTTATTTTAATTTTTTGCATAAGTTAAGTTAATTTTGTTTTAAACTAATAATTTGTACTCATATATTTAAATTTTATTCTTAAAGTGTATGTAAAAGAAGTTGGAATAAAAACAATATATTATATAAAGTTCAGTTTCAAAATATTAAAAAAAAAAAAAATCTCGAAAACTAATTTATCTAAAAAAGATTATTTTTAATAGATTATTTAGTACTTTTAAATTTAACTATTTCTTTTTTTTTTTAACCACAAAAAAATTATTGAAATTATTTTCCTAAGTTTTATATACAACTTATAGAACACATATTTATATACAATTTATAGAAATATTTTGCTTCAGAATAATAAAAAAACAAAAAACATAGATTACTCTGATTATTAGAATTTTGAGAGTTAGAGTAAGAAAATGAAATTCACCAAAACTTTCATTTTAAGGAAAAAATATCTAAACAACAATTGTTTACATATGTTTACATAAACTTTTTACCTTACTAATATCTTTTGTGAACACACCTGATGCAAGTCCATACTCTGTTTTATTTGCACTTTTCAATACACCTTCAATATCACTAAAAAGCAAATAAAAATTTAAGTAATAATTTGAATATTTTATTATCAAAATAAATTTAAATATTTTTTTTAAATCTAAAGAAATTACTTATTTGCAAATCTAGAAATAATCATAATTGGCCCAAAAGATTCTTCTTTTGCAATAAACATATCATCAGTAACATCTGTAAAAATAGCTGGTTCCAAATACAGTCCTAAAAAAATGTAATTTAACTTTACATACATTCATAAAGAAAAAAATAAAATAAAAGATAAAAACATAAAAAATTGTTATGCAGTAAAGATTTAAAAAAAAAAAAAAAAAATATGTATATATATATATATATATATATATATATATATATATATATATATATATATATATATATATATATATATATATATATATATATATGTATATATATATATGTATATATATATATATATATATATATATATATATATATATATATATATATATATATATATATATACACACATATATATATAAAATAAACCTTTGCAACCAACACGCTTTCCACCATATACAAGTTTAGCGCCTTCTTTTTTTCCTTTCTCTATATATTCCAGAAGACTTTCAAAATGAGCACTAACATCAAAAAACAACATATATCTGTTTTTATCTTATAATGTGAAAGGTAAGATCTTTATAAAATTTCACTGATGACATCATACGAGGGGTGTAGAGTCGGGTCGGAGTTTGTGACATTTTTAGTTTTACTATTGGAGTCAGAGTCACTAAACAAAAAGCAACTCTGACTCCAATAGTAAAACTTTTCGGTATTGCATGTGCATGTACAAAATATTTAACCTTCAAAGAATTTTTGATATATTTGGTAAAAAAAATTTTTAGTCGTACTCCAAACATTTCAACAATTGGAATCAGAGTTGATACTTTTTTTTACGACTCCACACCCCTGCATCATACTGAAATAATCATCTGTGGGAGCATCAACTGAGTATTTTAAAATTTAATTTACTCAAATACTTTTTTATAAATTAAAAGGAATTTAACGAAAATTATAAATTAGAATAATTTATAAAATTTATTTAAAATTTATAAATTATTCTAATTTATTTTAACTTAATAAACATAGTTATTCTTTTATTGTGTAAAGATAAAAAGTTAATGAAAATTTATCATGTAATGATAAAAAGGTGATGAAAGTTAAAAAAAATATGGAGTGCAAAAACAGTCTTTCATCGAAAACCATTCATGATCATGAACTTACTAACATTCATGATCATGAACTTACTAACATTCATGATCATGAACTTACTAACATTCATGATCATGAACTTACTAACATTCATGATCATGAACTTACTAACATTCATGATCATGAACTTACTAACATTCATGATCATGAACTTACTAACATTCATGATCATGAACTTACTAACATTCATGATCATGAACTTACTAACATTCATGATCATGAACTTACTAACATTCATGATCATGAACTTACTAACATTCATGATCATGAACTTACTAACATTCATGATCATGAACTTACTAACATTCATGATCATGAACTTACTAACATTCATGATCATGAACTTACTAACATTCATGATCATGAACTTACTAACATTCATGATCATGAACTTACTAACATTCATGATCATGAACTTACTAACATTCATGATCATGAACTTACTAACATTCATGATCATGAACTTACTAACATTCATGATCATGAACTTACTAACATTTAAACAAAGAAAAACAATTTCAAATTCATCAAACAAGAAGTTTGAAAAAAAGAAAAATTCATTTGAAGTATCGTATATAACACCCTACTTTGATATTTAAACCTAGAAAAATATCTTTTTTCAAATACAGTTAAAAACATTTTACTTAGGAAAAAAATTGGTGTTTATGCACCTATTAGAAAAAAAAAAAAAAATTTAAATTCCTTCGTTGTACAGTTACAAAATGATGGTGGGACTTTTTTAATTTTAAGGGCTGATTTAATTTTAATTAAGTAGTAGTTCAATTAAAACTAAGTTGGTTGGTTGATATGCTTGATAAATAACTAAATCAACCAACACACCTAAATCAACCAACACACCTAAATCAACCAACCAACCTAAATAGACACACTAAAGATTAAATTTTCAAGTAGAGTTGTTGGTAACTTAAAATAATTAAATTATCAAGATTTATAAAGCATCAAAACACTGTAAAATAGAAAACTTATTAAATTACCGATGATTTTGTGGTCCATGTGAAGTGGAAAGATCAAGAGGATCACCTATAACTAATTTTTCAACTTCTTTGATCTAAATTAAAATTAAGTTATTTGCTTAGCTCCTGCATTGACTTAACTGCATTGCCTTATTTTATTCTCTCTATTTACTTAAATTTTGATATTCAACAAAACAATTACTCAAATAAAGAAATTTAAGAATATTAGCTTACAACTCTATTAACAAACTCATCATGAATACAATCTTCAACAAAAATTCTTCCTATAAAATGTATATAAATAGTTATATTACTTTATTTCAACAGGGTGTATATATATATATATATATATATATATATATATATATATATATATATATTATATATATATATATATATATATATATATATATATATACATATATATATATATATCAACTGATATTAGTTCTTAGGAGAAATAATATAATTAAATCGATGTATGAGATAAAGTATAAGACTTGGCTTTGTTGATGATATTGTAAAATATTTCCATAAGTATCTAGAAATTAATTTCTAAAATAAAATACAAGATTTAGTAATCTGATAATGGAACTTCAGAGACAACTTCTTGCAATAACAAAAAAACATTTGTTCTTGAGTCGAGTTCTTGTGAAAAAGAAATGATTACAATTAGAAATAACAACTTAACAAAAAAAACTAACAAAAAACTAACTTGACAAATAAGCTTAACAAAGCTTGACTTAAAAATATTAAGAAGAAATAAAAACGTCCATGCCACCTGAATTCAGGAGATTGCATAGGAGATGCAATTTTAAGTGGAAAGACAAAAGACAAAAAAGTACCACCACAAAGAAAATCATAAAGTTGAGAATCATGAAGAAAACCAAAAAGTTTTGATGTAGTTGAACTTTTTAATTTTTTTTAGTAGTAAAATAATAGAAACTAATGTAGAAGATAAAAGTTTTAGCAAGATCTTATTGAATGGTTTGAGCTACATAAAGACAAAAAAAAAAATAAAAGAGCATAAGTTAGGGTAAACACAAAAGTAGTGAAAGTAATTCAGGTCTGAAAATTGAGTAAGAGATTAAAAAAAAAAAATTGAGCTTAAAAGCCAGTAGGGTGGTATTCACATTGAAATATGACCATTGTGAAAGCTTGAAACAATTTAACGCAGGTTTACATCTAAAACAGCCTTATTGAGCAAGATTGATGTTACCCCTTCATGTTGGGAGCAAGTTTGATGCTACCCCTTCATGTTGGGAGCAAGTTTGATTTATTAGCTTAAATATTGAATACAGTTTGTTTTCAATTTTCATAATTTAAAGACTCATCAAATTAAAATAAGTAAAAAACTTTAAAAAAAAGTTTAAACTTCAAAACTATAAAAAAATAAAAATTGAAATAATAAATTGTAAATTGCACACTTTATCAAATTGATACTATTTAATGATTGAATATGCAACTAAAATAAGATTGAAAAAATAAGTATAGACCCAAAATAATCTAACTAATTAATGAAAATAAATATATTCTCAAAATAATGAAATAAATCTGATGGTAAATCAAATTTCTGCTATTTTTACTTCAATAGAGGTTTCACAAAAATATATATTTAACAAAAAATCAATGGAAAATGTTAGAGATAAAAATGTTAGAGACTAAAATGTTAGAGATAAAAATGTTAAAGATAAAAATGTTAGAGATAAAAATGTTAGAGATAAAAATGTTAGAGATAAAAATGTAAGAGATAAAAATGTTAGAGATAAAAATGTTAGAGATAAAAATGTTAGAGATAAAAATGTTAGAGATAAAAATGTTAGAGATAAAAAATAACAAATGTAAAACAAATATCAATCTTATTACACAATAAAACAGTAAGCAACTTAAAAAAAAATAATTTCTCCTAGAACTAATACTATAAAATAGTCTGGAAAAGAAATTGTCCAAAGAAAACTAAAATTTTTTAACTACCTGCTGCAATGCAATTTTCTCCTTTGTTAAAAATACACGAGAGTAAACCCTAAGAAATATCAGTAATCTTGGAGATATTATAAAGAATGTGCATGTTTTCAATGTTTTATATAAATTTATACAATATTTGGATTAAGTTATAACACTATATGTATTATTATAATTATATATATATATATATATATATATATATATATATATATATATATATATATATATATATATATATATATATATATATATATATATATATATATATATATATATATATAGATATATATTTATATATATATATATATATATATATATATATATATATATATATATATATATATATATATATATATATATATATATAATATTATATAACTTTATACAATATTTGTATACTATTATTACTATAATTAATCAAATGTATTACAATGAGTAATCATTATTATCATTATTAGTATTATTATAATTATCATTATTATTACTATTAAATTAATTGTGAATTATTTATTTTTAACTGTTAATTTTAAGTTAATTTAAACTAATTTGTTTTAAAATAAAAATTTTCTTTTTCATTCTAAAACAAAAATTGATTGATAAAAATACAATAAGTAAATAAACCTGTTTTACAGCTTTATCCATGTCACAGTCACCAAAAATGATTAAGGGTGATTTTCCACCAAGCTCTAATGACACTTTTTTAATATTGCTATCAGCAGCGCTGAAAATAAATTTTTAGGAGAACATTTATTTTTAATCAGCTATGTTTTTAGCTGTGTTTTACTTAAAAACCATTAAAAATTTAATCTAATGGTGTAAAAGTAAAAGAATTTATTTTTGAAATATATGCATCTTGTTCCTTTACTCAGATGTTTAATAGTTTTTTTTTTGGACCACAATATGAGAAAATCAAGAAAAACATTTTTTTTTCTTTTTAAGGAGAAGTTTAACCTAAAACTAACAAAAAAACCAACTTAAAAATTGTAAACTTTCTCGATGTCCACTAAGTGACCACCCATTATACATCAACAAAAATTCTAACCACCCTTTTAGTATTATTAAATCCATACCAACTATGATATTCAACAATATTAACAAATATTGCATCTAGCAAAAAAGTTTTTGATAGATTATTTTATAACAATACCTTAACAGCTAGTGGGTATAATGAAAAGATTACTTCCCAAAAAAACCTTGCCTCAACAAAACCAAAATCAAGATCACTATGCATTATTTGATCCAATCCTCTGTTTTCACAAAATGTAAGAACAAACATTACAAAAATTTTCTAAATCTAATTGAAATGTTTTCAATTTTATATTCTATTTTTTATAACAAGTTTTTTATTCTTATTATATTTTTTTTCTAGTTTTTTAAATTTGAATACTTTCAAATGTAAAAATAATAACTACAAAAAACAAACTAACAAAAAACTTTAACTTTAGTAATAAATAATATTTAAGAAAAATTCACAAAATTCAAAATTCAAAAATTTACAGTTATTTACAAGAAGAAATTCACATTTCAGCAGTGTAAATTATACAAATGCTGTACAGCCTATCAACAGTACCAGACCAACAATCAATATAACAGGTTAAATAACCAGTCAATAGATTTAACTTCTCAAATCTATAGACTGATTTTAGAATGTATTTTTTAAAATCCTTGCTTATACATTTGAATAAGATCTCTTGTGAGATTTGCTCATAGGATTTCATCTAAAAGTTGAGTAAACCATATAGAATCTCCTCATAAGCATTCTACTTTTTTCAAGTTGTTAAAACAAGTAGAAAGCAGTTTCTGTTTCATTTCAAATGTGTTGTTAAATCAAATCTTTTTTATAGAAAGGATTTTTCATCCTACATATTACTTTTGTAGCTTTTTATCAATAGCATTATAAATAGTGTGGAGAATTTTCCAGACATGTTCATTTCTTGATTTTAGCATTTGCTTTTTCCAAGTAAGCCACAACTTCATTTGCTTAAAGTTTTTTTTTAATTATTGTTACAATTTTTTATAATTTTACAAACTAGATGCTTTTTAATTTTATTTTTTAATATCTGCATTATTTTGTGTATTGTGCTCTCTCTGACATATTGAAACCCAAAATTTAATACTTTGATGCATATCATCTAGCCTATATTTTAATAGTCTTCAATACTGTACTTTTACTTTAATACTGTACTTTGTCAAATACTCTGCAAATAGTCTGCAAAATATGAATGCAATCAAGACCTGTTAATCAACACTGACTATTAATTTATACTTCTAGTTTGTTTCCATTTTTAAAAACAAGTTTGCTACAGATCATGGGTTTTGGGATATATCCTCTTTTACAAGAAAGATAAAACTAAAATTGTAAACTAGTTGATTTTGAACACATTTACACATCATGCAGGCCGCCTAAAAATTTGAAGGAATGAAGTTTGAACAGATATTTTCCATTGCTTTAAGTTCTAAAACAAGTTAAAACATGTTTAAGTTTACAATAAAAAACAATTAAAATTGATTTGAGGTTTTTTTCTTTATCAGTTATTGAAAGATTTTTGTTTACTTTGCTATTTTTAGCTACTTTATTTTATATTTACTTACATGCTTATTTTTAAAAGACATAAAACTGTAATATAAATTTGTCAAGAATAACATGTAAATTTAATAAAAAAATTTTAAATTTAATAAACTCAACAATAAAAACACAACTGAATTTAAATTTTTTATGAAGTCTATGAATGAATAATTATTCCTGGTCAATAGAAAAATTTTAAAATATGCAGTATTTGTGTACCTTCTTTATTTGTCTTTATGATTTTTTTACTTTATATAGTATACATACTATAGACATTAGAAAACAATCAATTAAGAGAAAATAGAGATCGATAAGAAAAAAACAACCTTCTCATAACACCAGCTCCAACAGGTGTAGAGCCAGTAAAACCAACTTTCCTAATGTCAGGATGTTCAGCAATAGCTTGACCAACACTACGACCTAAAAAAATCAAAAGTGTTAAAGAAATAAGTTACAAAACTAACTATCTGAATAAAAGAGACAATTTTTGTGTTGTGAGCATTTAAGTCACCAATAACAACAATGAAAAATGAATAATATCAAGGATAAAATTTTCTTGTGAAACAATAAAAAATAAAGAGATGGAGTTTAGCAGTATTAAGCAACATAAACAATAATCAAAAGATTTTTAACTGATTTCATAACAAATAGTAAAGTTAGTGCATAAATATATGGTACAGGTCAAGTATGTGACATATGTTTATGTAAGCATATGTGACCATTTAAGTCTTTGCAAATAAGATGATAATAGTCACTAACATTAAAATATAAAGAATTTATTAAACTTTGTATAACAAAAAAGTATATCAAGAAAGCTTATCAGTTAACCTATCTTTTTCGTGGTTGTAAAAAAATACATAGTTTCTTTTCATACAATATCACATAATATACTAAACACAGCTTTACATTACAGGAAATGAATAAATAATAAATAAAATCTTTTTATCAATAGTTTCAAAAATTAAAATTAAAAAATACCTGAACCAGGAACAATATTGATGACACCTTTTGGAAAACCGGCCTTTACTGTTAGCTCAGCAAACTTTAATGCTGTCATTGAAGTAACCTTTAAACAAGTAAAAAAAAAAAATTATAAATGATTTTTATAAACAAAAATTTAATTAATAAATTTAATAAAATTTAGTAATTTCTTTATTAATACTTGAGCTGGCTTTAAAACAACTGTATTTCCAGCAGCTAATAAAGGTGCCATTTTCCAAGCCAACATCATAAGTGGGTAGTTCCATGGAACAATCAAACCGCAAACTCTAAATGTAGTTGTAATTGAAATATTAAACTTTTTGTTAATATTAATAATAATTTAAATAATTTTGAAATTAGCAAATAATTAACTTAAACTAACAGAAGCAAAAAATGAAACTGTGGTGGTGCCTATTATATAAATATATGACAACATGAGGTAATCATAATATATTATATGAATATGATATCACAACAAGAGATATTATAATATATTACATGAATATATAATACTCATGATATCACAATAATACCACAATATATATATATAATATTTATGAATACCACATACAACAAGGAATATATATTATTCATGATACTATAACACAAATATATAATGTTTAAGATTTGCAATGTTATCAGCAACCTTATTGAAAAGGTAAAATCACTTTTTTTTTTTTTAATTATCTTCGCTTCCAACAAGGCTGCAAGCAACCACTAATTAGTGTTGGAAGTTACTGGAAGAGAAAAGATGAAGATTGTAGAGCAAGATAACGATTAACAGACGACTTGAAAGATTGCAAATTATATGAATCAGGAAAGCAAGATGAAGGAAGCGAAATCCAAAGAACTGATGTTCGAGGAAAAAAACTAGACGAATAAGAGTTTTTGGAGCACTTAGGAACAGTAACAGAAAAAGGATGAGACTTAATTGAATGACGAGTAACAGGAGAATGAATTGTAGTAAATGGCACAAGAGACGCTAGCTCTTTCGAGCAGTGCCCATTATAGTATTTGTAGAAAAGAGAAAGAGAAGCAACATTACAACGATGTGACAGAGGTTGAAGGTTGGCTGCAAGAGCAGGTCCAACTATGTTTACAATGCGTTTTTGCACCTTGTCTAAAAGAGAAAGGGCATCATTAGAAGATCTGCCCCAGATATGGCAACAGTATTCTATACAAGGTCGGATTTGAGATTTATAGAGATAGAGAATAAAATCCAGAGTAAGAAAGTGACGAGCTCGATAAAGAGAAGCAACTTTAGCAGATGCTAATTTTGCAACGGATTTGATATAAGGTTTCCAAGAAAGATCAGAAGTAAGAGTTAATCCTAGAAGATGAAGGGTAGGAGACTCATCGAGTACATTACCGTTCATGAATATAGGAAGGTCTAAATTATTGCGATAAGGATTGGCCAAAAAAAATTGAGTTTTATCTGTATTAAAGTTCACCAGCCACTGTGAACCCCATGCTGTAGCAGAAGTGAGATCCTTTTCAAGCTCAGCTTTTCATGCCCCCTGCAAGCAATCAGAGGGAGTTGGCTTCTTATCGTGACAAGATTAAATGGTAGTATCATCAGCGAACAATGCCACCTTAGATGTGAGAATATCTGGAAGATCGTTAATGTAAATTAAAAAGAGTATAGGGCCAAGGATTGAACCTTGGGGAACCCCTGAGGTTACAGAATAAGAAGAAGAGTGCTGTCTATATTACTTTATAGTACGATTGGAAAGAAAGGATTCAATAATCTTAAAGATGTTTCCAGATACACCGTAAGAAGAAAGCTTATGGAGGAGACCAGCATGCCAAACTTTATCAAATGCTTTAGAAATGTCAAGAGCAATGGCCTTAACCTCTCCACCATTATCTAATGCGCGATAAAACCTATCGGTTATTACTGATAGCAAATCAGCCGTAGAACGAGAAGATCGAAATCCATATTGATGATCAGAAAGTAGGTTATGAGATTCGAGATTCGAGATTAAATGTTTGTTAATTAAAGATTCAAAAACCTTGCTTATGATAGGAAGAAGACTAATGGGACGGTAGTTAGACGAATCGGATCGCTCTCCAGAATTTTTAAAAATAGGGATAACAGATGCTGCTTTCCAGCAGGCTGGAAAACAAGACTCTGATAAGCACTTGTTAAATAGTTTTGAAAGGATAGACGACAGTTCCGGAGAACACTTCTGCAAGACTATAACAGGTATGTTGTTCGGGCCGCAAGCTGTAGAAGAGTCTAAGCGGGAAATCACTTTAGATACAGAAGTGATATGAATGTCGAGCATGGATCAACCTGTTTGACGGCTATATCAGGTAGAACGCAACTAGTGGCATCAAGAGATGATATTGATAAAAAGTTCTTGGCAAACAATTCAGCTTTGTCTTTAGGTGAGGTGACAAAGTCTGAACCATACAAAAGAGGTGGAATTACAGATTTGCCCTTATTATTGATACTATTAAAGATTCTCCAGAAGTCACGAGAGCCTAATTTTTGTGATGAAATACGAGATTTCATGATTTGAGAATAGCAGGTTTTGGCGTTAGACAAAACCTTTTTACAATGGTTCCTAGCAGTAATAAAGAGACGTCTGTTTTCTGGAGAATTGTTTTGCTGATAGATATGGAAGTAATGGTTTCGATTGGCAATTGCAGCAACACAATGTGAAGAAAACCATGGAGAAGAGTGAGGCTTGACCTGGAATGGTCAAGAGGGAATAAAGGATTCCATGCCAGCCTGAATCCACGAAGTTATGTAAGAAGCACATTTGTCAACAGGAAGACGAAAGATTTCTACCCAGGGGCCATCACAAAGAAAATCACGGAAAGAGTCCCAGTCAGCTTTAAGGTAGTTGTAAGATGTACAATGATAGAGGGATTCTGATGGTAAAGAAGAACGAGATAATAGTTTCAAAGAGACCGAACCATGATCAGAAGCACCTAAGGGTGAGTGTGAAGAAACTGAGCACTGACTAGGATCAGAAACAAGACATAAGTCGGGTAGAGAAGGTCAATGATTTGGGTTGTCTGGAAAGCGAGTTGGAAAGTTGACTATTTGAGTTAGGAATTGAGAAAGACAAAAGTTGTGGGCCTTAATGCCTGCAGAGTCACTAACACTAGAGCCAAGCCATTCAATGTGAAGAACATTAAAGTCACCGACAACAACAATATTGGCTGATGGATAAAGAATGAGGGCTTGGTCAATATAATCAGAAATAACATCAAGAAGAGTGCAGTCTTGAGATGAGGGAGAGCGATATAGAACAAAGAGAAAGGTGATAGAGTGAAGTGGTGCTAAACGAAAGCACATAAAAAAGTAGTCTGTGGATTCAAACCTAGTTTCCCAACAAATGGGTGAATTCTTACGAATGTAAATGCCCAGGCCAAGCATGTGACTATTGGAGTCTTTACGAATTAAAGGAAGATAACCATCAACACTAAGATCACAAGATGAGACAGCTGAACTCAAATTAGTCTCACAAAGAGCAAGTAGGTCTGGTGAACTTTGCAAGAGATAAGACTCAACAGAAGAAAAGTTACTTCGAAGACCACGAATATTGGTGAATGATAGGTTTAGCGAACTTGGTGATGACTGTGGTTTTTTGTGTTTTATAGTTTTTGTTAATTTATTCATTTTTAAATTTGTTAAAGAACTTGACTCGAAACATAGATAGTACTCAGTGCACTGTCTTATAGCCCAAACAATTGCCTCATTTCCACTAATAAACCCTAAGCCGTAACAAAGGGCTCCAATGTGGCCTTGGCAATGCACAAACAGGGACACCACTTATGCGCAACATGGCACTGTTAGTACTCTGATATTTTTCAGCTGTTGATGGAATCAACCTCTCTGAGAGCTACCACAGAGTTCGGGAAACCTGACTACCAGCCGGCCTCAGAACCATAAAACTGAGTTTTAGAGCTGTACCCTCATTTGGAGAAAATAGAAAGAGTTGCCTAGTCATAAAAACAGAGACAAAAGCAAAACCCATGAATTGAGTCAAGAAGATCCAGCATTCAACATCCTAAACTGGAAACAATGTATTAAAAATACATCTGCGCCAGCCTAATAGATGAAGAAGGTGTGCGAGGCTGGTCAACAGATAGAATCTGTTTACCCCTTAAGTCTTTGCCTAGGAGGCCTTCTACAAGACAGCAGCCGGATGCATTTAACATCTGCCCAAGATGAGTATTTTTATCAAGACACCATCTCTAGCCTTTACTCAACCAAGAGCCCCAAGGCAGGGGGTGTTTTACGTTGGAGTTTGCATCTCCTAGCCTTTGCCTAAAAAGGCATATCCTACAAGGCAGCAGGACAAAAAATATTGTATTAGTTAGGGTCCCAGAATCAAAGAAAATTAATGAAATTAAAAATAAAAGTAGAACTAATCATGAAGTCATTAAACAAACATGTTAAAATTGTGTACACTCACACACAAAAATTGAAATCATCTATTCTCTATAAAACTGACTCTTCTCTAAACTTATCTGAAATATATCTAATCTAGCTGTTCAAATAGAAAATGAAATCACACATAATGATCAGCTAAAAATCTTGCAAATACAAATGAAATCACATGTAATCATCAGCTAAAAATCTTGCAAACACATGCCACAAAAATATTTTCATTAGACCAGACTGCACACTAGTTGAACAAACATACCTCAACACCCTACTCAAAGAACAAAAGGAAGCAAACAATGAACTTGAAAGTTAGCAAACTTAATCTCCCTTTCAATATGTCATCCATGTTGAATGGGACTGCTGCGTCAATGACACCAAAACACTTCTCATTAAAGGCCACAGTAAACAACCCTTTCCCAATAAAGAAGCAAAAAAAACACTCAAAAATACATCAGCAAAAGCCTCAAATTCAAATGCTAATAAACCAACAGCAATTACAATCTCAACTAAATGATACCAATATATTTTAAAAGCAACATAAATGCATGTATACCAACTCCACCTCCCTAAACATAATCTCTCTAACATCAGTGACATGCAAGAAAAATGGAACCATCCTAAAAAGTACAACAATGAATCTATATGCAAATAACTTAATCCAATACATAGCTTTGGTAACACCATGTTGTACTTAGTGAATCTATTTCAGATTGGGCTGATGTTGTGGGTGGAGTTCCACAAGGCTCAGTTCTCAGTCCAGTATTATTCATATTTATATCAATGACCTTCCTGACAATCTCTTCATTCTACTTAAAATGTATGCTGATGACACTAAATTACTTGCAAAAATAAAATTAAAAGATATTAAGAACAGTATAAGTA